AGGAAGGGAGGAGGAGGAGGATGGGGAAGCATGGGGGAGGAGGAGGGGGGAGCAGAGGATGGGGGCACTGCTACCCCAGAGAAGAAGGGAGGCCTGAACAGGTGCAAATAGTGGTTGGGGAGCACCCCTCTCCCTGCACCTCGTGGAAGGCAATCTGGAGCCTCCACCAAAACAACGATGACGAAATGGCTCACAGCCCTGTGTGCCGTGGCCTCTGCATGTGCCAGTCCTTCGTGCCCATGGCTGAGCAAGAATGTGACACATGGCCGTGTCTGTAGGAGGGAAATCACAGATATGAATGGCTGCCAATGGGGAACCGCTTCTGTCCATTACCACAGTGCAGAGGTTTCTATAATAAGTAAAATGGTTTAGTTCATTAAGTAAAATAATTCCTATAATAACAAAATTAAACTGAATTAAAACAAGACAGGTAGTGTCGGCGGGTCAGGATGGAGGAACGTATGAACGAGCAGGATGGGGAGTCCAGAACTGCAGTCACGCGCACGTGGTCAGCTGGTTTTGGCTGATGGTGTGAGCGCTCACTGGGACGGGACAGCCCCTCGCAAGTGTGCATTAGCAAGTGGACACCGCACGGACAGGTGGACTTCAGCCGTCACTCACCTCACACACAATAGCTGGGACGGATCGGTCTTAACCGCGAGCACTAGAGAGCTTCTAAAAACACGCAGGCGAGACACCTACGCCCTCAAGGCATGCAGATGTCTCGGGCCTAAAAGCCACAGAAAAAAACGTGATAAACCAAACGTCACCGACATGACGCTTGTGCTTATCCAAAGGGGAGCTGCGGAGTAGGAGGAAGTACTTGTAATACATCCATCTGACAAAGGACTTGTGTACAGAATATATAAAAAATTCCTATGGATACATGTTTTAAAATAAGGCTAGTTTGCTGTTTGTTGCCTCTGGGACAAGATATTATTACTGAAATAATCTTGTGAAATGTGCCTATCTCTTTCCCTACTTTTATGTCTATGCCTTTCAGGAAGATGTTAAGGTTAGTTTTCACCTTAACATCAGGTGTTTTAGCACCTCTTTCCTCCATTAGACATTCTATCTGTCACATTTTTCTAGTGTGATAGTAAACACTAGTCAAATGATACAAAAGTTAAAAAAAATTCCTATGAACCGATAAAGACAAAGAATCTGATAAAAATAAATTGAGGAATAGACTAGACCAGGCACTTGGCTTACAAACGTTGTCTAAACAGACAAGGAGCACACAGGGACAGGCTCAGCAGCACCGTCATCAGGGAAACGTAAATTAAAGCCTCCACGAGATACTGAGATACCGCCATGCCCATCAGAGTGGCCAAAGTCCAAGGCTGATGGTACCAAGTGCCGACAGGATGAGGGGTGACAGAAGCACTTGGCATACACCCGCCTACAACCCAGCAATCCCACTCCTGGGGGGGGGGGTCTCCCCAAGAGAAAAGAAAACGCCTGTCCCCACAAAGACCTGGTCACTATGTCTGTGGAAACCTTGTTCATAATAACTCAAAACTGGAAATAACCCAAATGTCCGCCAACTGGAGAATGAATCAGCCAAGTGTGGAACGGTCCTAACAGGAAACATCACTCAGCTACTGATACACCAGCGACAGGGATGCGTCTCATAAGAAGCCAGACGGAAAAGGCTATTCTAGGTGAAGCGAATCAACAGGCAGAACTTGGGCATGAAGTTGGGGCGGCAAAACCTCTGTGGTGGGGGCTGCTCCGGCTGCTGTAACAAAATCCCGTAGAAACCACAGGAATGCATCTGCCCCAGTCCCGGGGGAGGGAAGTTGGGGAGGCAGGCGTGAGCAGGGCCGGCCTCCCCTGAGGCCTCCCTCCTGGTGCGTAGACGGCCATCCTCTCCCGTGTCCTCACGGGGTCGTCCCTCCGTGCATGTCTGTGTCCACATCTCTGCCTGTAAGGACACCAGTCACACTGGATTAGGGCCCACACACAAGACCTCATTTTAACCAGTTAGCTTTTTAAGGGTTCAGTCTCTAAATACGGTCACATTGTGAGGCATTGAGGGTTAGGATTTCAGCACATGAATTTGGGGGGCACCGTTCATCCCACAACACCTCTGGAGGGTGGGAACGGGGGAGGATGTCACTGTTGTTGCTCATCAGAGCGGAGCACATGGAAGGAATAAACGTGTCCATGTGTGCAGATGACACGCTTGTCTAAGAAAATCCCATGAATCTACAAAAACACTTAGAAGTAGCAAGTCACGGACACAAGATCAATTCACGAAAATCGCTTGAATGTTTATATGCTGGCGATGAACGTGCAGATGCCAAAATCCAAAAAACACAATGCCATTTACACACACACACACACGCACAAGCATGTGCTAAGCTTGGGTGCTGAAAAGTATAGTATGATGACGAAGGAAACAGAAGTCTTAAAAAAGGCATATTGTGTTCACGGACTGAGGATTCAAGACAGTAACAACGTCAATTCTCCCACAAATGACCTGTGAGTTTAATTCAGTTTCTATCAAGGTCCCAGCAAGGCTTTCTGTAGACCTTAGAGGAGCTCATTCCAGAATGTACATGGAGGGCACGGGTCCCCAGGCAGCAGGCGGCCGTGAGCAGGTGGACGACGCTGGAGGAGCCCCTGGCCCCACAGTAAGGTCCCTCTGTAGCCACAGCAAAGGGGACAGGGTGGTGCTGGGGGGACACACACAGGCATCAACGGGGCACAGCGGGAGCCCCACTGCGGGGGCGGGGGGGAGGGGGCTGCCAACCGTGCGAAGGGAGGAAAAACAGCCTTTCCACAAATGGCCTTGGAGGACGGGACCTCCACAGGCAAACAAGAAACCCGACCTAAACCACACGCCTGATACACCAGCACAAAGTGGGTCATAGATCAAACGTAAAATGTAAACTAACTTCAAGAAAAACAGGAGAAAACTTTTGGGACCTGGGGCCACGAGCCCCGATGGGAAAATTGACAAGTGCGAGCTTGGCCGGGGTTAGATGCCCTCACACGTGTGGGAAGGAGAACATGGAGACAGGCCACGCCAGCCCACAGCGTCCAGGATGTGCTGAAACTGGCCACCCACACCCGGCTCACAAATGGGCTGCCGCTCTGGGAAGAGCCCGGCAGGTCCTTCTAGAAGGAAAAGGCCACCACCCAGGACACAGCAACGGCCTCGTGTCCGTGCGGAGACGTGAAGTCCTGCGTCCATGCAGACACCTGCACGCAGATGTGCAGCCTCATTCCCAACAGCCCTGGCCTGCACACAGCCCCGTGTGCCCCAGGGGTGCAGGGCGAAGCTGAGGCACGCCCGCAGCCCCGACCCGCTGGGTGCACAGCAGACCGGCGGGTCCATTTGAAACAGCTCCAAGCTCCACCTACAGAGCATCGTTCATGGACGTTCATCGTTCACGGAGCACAGGCGAGCTGCGTCCTTAGGCAGTTCACACCTGGCTGTGCCCGTGCGGACATCCTGCTGTGCACGGCACTCCACAGTTGTGCAGGACGTCACCCTCCGGGGAGGCTGCGTAAACCACACATGAATCTACAGTTAGTTATTGCAGAATAAAAAGGTTAATTTTTAAGAGAGAGCTAATGGAGGGCGCCTGGGTGGCTTAGTCAGTTAAAGGTCCAACTTCAGCTCAGGTCATGATCTTGTGGTTTGTGAGTTCAAACCCTGCATCGGGCTCTGCGCTGACAGCTCAGAGCCTGGAGCCTGCTTCCAGTTCTGTGTCTCCCTCTCTCTGTCCCTCCCCCACTTGCACTCTCTCTCTGTGTCAAAAATAAACATTTTTAAAAAATTGAAAAAAAAAGGGGCTAACGGAGTCCCCTGATTGTTAAGACAGTGACTTATCCAGGGAAACAGGGCAGCTCCTAGAATCCCCAGCACAACAGAAATGGATGTGGGGCCGAGCCCCAAGGCCTCGCAGCTCCTCCACATTAGCCAGCACATCCCCCCCCCCCCCCCCCCCCCCCCCGTCACCCTGTGCCCTCTGCCCAGGGCGCCCCCCGCACCACCGTCCACACCCAGCACAGGTGCGCAGGCTGGACACTCCTGCCCTCCAGTGCCCGCCGCTCCCCTCCCCACAACATCGGCACCTGGCATCACAGCCCCTGTGTCCCCACAGAGTGAAGGAGGAGCAGCCTCGGGGACACCCCGCCTCCCTGCTCCCAGAAGGGAGGCCGTGTCTCAGGAGGCCAAGCAGCTGCCAAGGCCAGGCTGGGAGCCAGCAGAGGATGTGGCCGGGACAGCGGGCCACTGACACGGGGCGCAGGGCAGCAGGGCGAGCCAAGGCCCTGCAGGGCGAGCATCCCGGTACCGACGGCGATGAGGAAACCGAGGCTCAGGGATGCGCGAAGCCTTCACTCAGTCTCCCAGCAGCTCCCCAAGATGGAGGCTTGCCCGCCCCTCATCCCTGCACGGCTCCCTGCGCCCTGCCCCTCCCGCTTACTCCGGGGAGGACCGTCAGGCCAGGGTGGGTCAGTGTCGGGCACTGAGGCGGTGGGTCACAACGGGCTTTGGAGGGGTCAGCTCTGTCAGCCGGCAGGTGCCTGAACACCCACCCACCCAGTGCCGGACAAGACCCGGGAGGGAACAGCAAACTCCCCACGGACGTGCAGGCCGCTGGGCTTGCCAGCTCTAGGGCTGGGCTTCTGGGGTTTTCCATTTTCCTATCCTTGCTTCTCAGGAATATATGCATTTTTACAAAGAACATTTATCGTATTTGCATTTGGGAGAACAGTCAACCTATTTAAAAATAAGACGGTAAACTCTTATTGCTCATTCGAGATTCCAAACCTCCAGCAACTGCCGTCAGAGGCACTACTGTCTCCACGTCTGTTTATACATGGAAAATTTAATTTCTACTTAGCTGTCTTAAATTTCTCTGAGGAAAAATGCGGTCAAGAAACCCAGGAGGAATGGACCCGGAATGTAATTCTGCTTTCTGAAAACACACTTTTGCAAAATGTTCTCTAGATTCCTTTCCACTGAAAGTGCATATTGTTCAAAGACAGAAAATGCCCCCTAAATTGGGCGCTGCTGAGCATGTAGCCAGAAGCCAGGCGGCACAAAGGACGACCGAGTGGCCGAGGACGGACTCGCAGCCCACACCTGGCTTTGGGCGCCAGATGTCAGCGTGAGAGAGTGAGGGCCCGAATGCTGAGCCGTCCCATTACCTCTTTATGCAAACAACACAAAAGCAGAATTGCTCTGAAAACCTTTGACAGTTCAGTCATCCCAGCCAAAAGGAGCCTTTGGGATGCGCTGGAGAGCTTGTGGCCTCAGTCCCTTACCTGAGGTGGCGTTTGGGAGCCTTGCAGACAGAACAGGACAGTTACGGGAGGTCCTGGTGAGTGAGGGCAACGCCCCAGGCGAAGTGGCCCCTGGCCTGTGACACAGCACTCTGACGCCCGTCACTGAGGGGGTGCCGTGTCTACGGGCTTTTTTTTAACCCCGTAAGAAAGAAAATCATTGTGCGTATATAGGCACACCTCGCTTCCCTGCAGTTTTTCACAAACGGAAGGTTTACGGCAACCGTGTGTGGAACAAGACTTTTGACACCATTTTTCCAAACTTGTTCATCATTATATGTTTCGGTGATCTGTGATCTTTGATGTTACCATGCTAAGCTGAGGCACTGCGAGCCAAGCCATATGAGATGGTGAACTTAACTGATAAACTGATAACTGATAAACTGTGGTGTTCTGGCTGCTCACCTGTCCCCCGCTGCATCTCTGTCCCCCTTCTCAGGCCTCCCCATTCCCTGAGACACAACAGTACTGACATTAGGCCCACTCAGAACCCCACAATGGCCCCCAAGCGTTCAAGTGAAAGGAGTCACGCGTCTCTCGCGTTCAATCACAAGCTAGAAAAGATTAAGCTTCGTGAGGAAGACAGGGCGAAACCCAAGCCAGGCCGAAATCTAGGCCACTTGTGCCAAACAGGTAGCCAAGTTGTGAAGGCAAAGGAAGAGTCCTTGAAGGACGCTGCACGCATGCGCCACTCCAGTGGACACACGGGTGATAAGCAAGGGAAACAGCCTGAATGCTGATATGGAGGAAGTCTGGCCGGTCTGGATGGGAGATCAAAGCGGCCACGATGTTCCCTTCAGCCAAAGCCTCGCCCAGAGCAAGGCCCAGACTCTTCCATCCGGCGAAGGCTGAGGAGGTAAGGAAGGAGCAGAAGAGGTAGGAGCTAGCAGAGGTTGGTTCAGGAGGTTTGGGGAAAGAAGCTCTCTCTGTGACGCCCAAGTGCAAGGTGAGGCAGCACGTGCTGACGCAGAAGCTGCCGGAATTATCCAGAAGATCTGGCCGAGAGGACTCAGGAAGGTGCTCACACTAAACAGCAGACTTTCCATGCAGATGAAAGAGGCTTCTGCCGGAAGAAGATGCCACCTAGGATTTTCATGGCTGGAGAGGAGAAGTCAGTGCCTGGCTTCAAAGCCTCCAGGGACAGGCGGACTCTGCTCAGGAGCGGATGCAGCTGGTGACTTGAGGTGGAAGCCAGGTGGAAGCTCACTGGCCATTCTGAAAATCCTAAGCCCGTAGCAATCACGCAAAATCTCCTCCGCCCGTGCTCTTTACTTGGAACAACAAAGCCTGGCGGACAGCAGATCTGTCCACAACACGGCTGACCGACTGGTTCAAGCCCACTGTTGAGGCCTGCTGCTCAGGAGAAAAGATTCCTTCCAAAAGATTACTGCTCAAAGACATTGCACCTGGTCACCCAAGAGCTCTGATGGAGACGAGCAATGAGATTACTGTTGCTTTCACGCCTGCTGCCAACACCACCACCATTCTGCAGCCCACGGATCGAGCGGTAATTCTGACCTCCAAGTCTCATTAGTTAAGAGACACCTTTCGTGAGCTCATAGCTGCCATACACACCGATTGCTCTGATGGATCTGGGCAGAGTAAACTGAAAACATCCTGGGAAGGAGTCACCATCCTAGATGTCATGAAGAACATTGGGGATTCATGGGAAGAGGTCACGATTCAACACGGACAGGAGTTGGGAAGAAGCTGATTCCAGCCCCAGGGAGGACTTTGAGGGGTTCAGGACTCCAGGGGAGGAAGTCGCTGCAGACGTGTGGCAACAGGAGAACCGGAAGCAGAAGGGGGGCCTGAAGACGGCAGGGAGCTGGGCCACCTCAGGATAAAACTCCAACGGACGGGGACTTGCTTCCCGTGGATGAACAAAGAAAGTGGTTTCCTGAGACGGAGTGTGCTCCTGGTGACGATGCTGTGAAGAGTGTCAAAATGCCAACACGGAATTGAGAATATCACATGAACTTAGCTGACAGAGCAGCGGACAGGGTGTGACAGGATAGACTCCGGGTTTGAAGGAAGTTCTGTGTGTAAAATGCTACCAAACAGCATCACGTGCTACAGAGAAATCGTTCTTGAGAGAAGAGTCAGTCAACGTGGCAAACGTCACAGTCGTCTTATTTCCAGAGATGGCCACAGCCGCCACCTCCCTGCGGGGTCAGCCGCCACTGCCCTGAGGGGTCAGCAGCCTTCAACCCTGAGGGAAGACCCTCCACCAGCAAAAAGATCGTGGCTCGCTGAAAACCCAGATGATGGTTCGCGTTTCTTAACAGTACTTAAGTACTTATTGCAATATTCACTTTGTCCCAGTGGTCTAGAAGGAAACCCTCAATTTCTCTGATTCAAGAAGTAGGGTGACACGGGGTGGCCACCAGCACCCAGGCCCAGGCCCTGAGTTCGGGGTCCACCACCGTCCCGGCCGCACACTGCAGCCCCACGTACGCATCCTCTCCCATTGGGATCCTCACTCTCAGCTCCTGATGAACCAAAGTGATTCAGCCTTCATAGCTCTGTGTATTTAGGGGACTGCCTTTCAGGGGAGGGAGGATGGGAATCTGCTGGCAGCCCCCCCCAAACACGCAGTGTGAAAGGAGGGAGCGGGAGGGGCTTACTGGAAATTAATTACTGGGAAACAAAAGGTTCTCATTTCCTGGTCAAGCATATGTCGCCAGCAACTTCATTCTAAAAGCCCCAGCTGGAGCTCTAGAAAGCCCGTGGGGATTCCCTCCTCGGCACCAGACACACCAGACCTGGCCTCCTTGGTCTCTCACCTCCCACTCAGCCAGGCAGGGGCGGCGGCCACCCCCATTCTGCCCCATCTCCCTGTTCCTGCGGGGGACCCTGGGGGCTGAGCAGCCCCAGGAGGGCATGAGCTGGGGGTGGGGGCAACTCTGGGCTGACAGCCTCAGCTTCCACCTGGAGCATCCTGCCCTTGCCGTGTCCCAGGTTGGGGTGCTCTGTGTCCCCAGGTCACCTCGGGGCTCCCGAACAGCAGACCCCCTCTGAGTGTTCCTCAGATCTGCTCATAGGCTCCCACAGCTCACAAGGGCCAACCTGGAAGTGGGAGGTAGCTTCCTAAACTCACAAGCGGGAAGAGTCAGCCCGGGTCCAGCACTCCCACGGAAGTGGGTCCTGGGCTCCCACCCTGCGGCTTCACCAGCCCCTCCCTGAGTTCGGTCTGGCAAACACACAGCTCTCGCCTTGCATGCACCTGCTTCTCTATCCTGCATGCTTTAGCTGAACCAGATCCCTTCTGCAGCAAGATGGCAAAGAGGCAGGAGGGAGGAGGAAGGGAGGGGTGGAGTGGGGGGAGGGAGGAGGATGAAGGAGGGAAGGAGAAAGGAGGGAGGAGGGAGGAGGAGATGGATGGAGATACAAAAAAGGAAGTGGATGGGTCACTAGGTGGTTAGTGGTGCTCAGTGCCCACGGGCCAGTTAGTTGAGTGCTACTGTGGGTGTAGGAGCCTCAGGGGAGTGGCAGGACGGTGCCCCCTCCTTGGCTGCAGCGCAGGGTATGGGGCCAGGCATCAGTGCCCACAGGGAGGAGACGGCCTTCAGCCCCTCGGGGGCAGATCGCTGCCAACATGGGCGCCCAGCCTCTCACTGGACAACTGGTCCCTGTCCACACATGCACACACACAAGTCCACGCACACACACGGTGGGCAGCGGCTGCAGGGAGGGGGTGGCTTGAGTGGCTGGGATTGCTGAGCCATGGGCATGCTCCAACCCCATCTGTGCTTGAGGGAGGTCCCCACACAGCCCCAAGGCCCCTGGGGGTCTCTCACCATGTGTCCTGGGGTGGGAGGAACCCCCAAAGCTGGCCCGAGGCTGTGGGACTGAGGCAGGACTGGCGACCATGAGCCTGGGAAGGCATCCCGCCACCCAGGGAAGCCATTGCAGTCTGACCAGCCATGTGCGTGCACAGGGCACCCTTCAGCTCCTGTCACCCATAGGAAGCCCTGCTGGACAGCTGGGGACACTGAGGCATGGGCCCCAGTCACATGGTTGGGGGGCAGGTGGTCGTGTCCTGCCCTGAGCCCCCAGAGCCCGTCTGTCCACTGTGCCCAGAGCAGGGCCAGGCCCCCATGGCGCAGGCTGAGGTCACTGAGCGAGCCCACCAAGGGCCCGGGGACGAGCTGTGGCAACCACTGTGGTGCAGAGGAGGAAACTGAGGCCCCGGCCCAGGGTCTACCCGAGGGAGTCTCTGTGCCGGTGGGACCCTGGCCTGGCACAGAAGAAGCCCTGCACCCAGAGCCCATGGCCTTCAGCCGCCCGCCCCAGCAGCCCAACAGCCAGGCCTGGAGGGAACCCCCACCCCAGGCACGTTGAACTTTCCCGCAAAGGCACTGTGGCTGGGCCTGCCGGCTTACACTAGTTCAAAGAGGAGTCGTGTGTGCAAACCCCTTCACTCCAGGCTGAGCTGGGAAGTCGCCCAACATGCCCATGTCCTGGTCCACACCTCCAAAGAGCCTGGGGCCTGGCGTCCCCAAGGACTTGGGAGTGTGCAGTCTTCAGCCTCTCTGTCAAGAAAAGGTACCCTCGACCACATGCATCCGAGGGGCTATTTTCCTGAAGAGAGAGAAAGCGCTGGGGAACGCTGGAAACTTAAGTGACAGAAGCCAATCCTAGAAGGCAATACCTGCACAGTCCTGCCGGTGTGACCTGGCTGCCAGGGGCTTCTTAGGGTGTGAAATGATGGACAGGCGTCAGGACACGTTTGTCCCAAGCCCACGGAAGGCCCACCAAGAGTGACCCCAACAACGTGTGGGCTCCGGGCCACGATGCCCAGCCCATGCAGGCTCACAGGCGCCCCTCCATGAGGGGGAGGCGGGGGTGGGCCGGGGGCGCAGGGTAAATCTCTGAACTTCCCTCCATTTTGCTGTGGACCTAAAACTGCTCTAAAAAAATTGCTTTTATAAAAAGACTGTCCGGCGTCTGAAACGGGGTCCCTGTTTTCGTGGCAACCTCAGGCCGTGGCATTTCTAAGCACACCCCCACTCCCCTCCCGGCGGTTCAACCAGACGTGGGGACGTCCGGAGACACACACGCACGTGCCCAGCAAACATCCAGGGGCGGGAGGCCGGGGGCGGGCACCCGCCGAGGGAGGGGCAGGCCCCCTCCTCAAGTCACCTGGGCGCGCGCAGGCGCTGTGTCCCTGCCCGCCACCCTGCAGGACGAGCAGCGCGGGGACCGGGACCTCACCGCCACCTGAAACCTTTCCAGTCGCACCTACTCACCGCCTTCCCTGCCAAGGGGGCCCAGCAGGAAGCCCCCGTCCGGCGCGCGCGCGGGGAGGCCACCACGGGGCGGGCACGGCGGCCCTGCCCCCTCAGGCCCTCCCTCGGGCGGGGCGGCGCCCGCACAGCCCCTTTCTTCTCCAGCCCCGACAAAGCCAGCAGGGGGCGGGGCGGCCCCGGGGATGCCCACCGTCTCCGTGGCAACGCGGAGGGCCGGCTGCTGGGTGCGGTGGGACGCGAGCCGGGTGTCCCTGTGGGCGGAAGCGGGCCGGGGCAGGCTGGGAGAAGAGAGGTGTTATCTATTGTTCCGCAACCCCCTGCGGCCTGCCCCCCCTCTTACAGACTTGTTACAAGGTCCTGAGGCCACAGGACACCTTACTCCACTAGCACGGTTGTGTGTACACGCTTAGCACGTGTCTCGGAGGCTCCCGGGAGGACACAGTTGCTTACAGAGGGCTTTGTTTGGAGGCCGTGCGGGTGTGTGTCTGGGTGTGTGTGTGTGCATGTGTGCGTGTGAGATGCTGTGTGTGTGTGATGCTGTGTGTGGCTGACACAGGACCCAGGCAAGACATGGGCAGCCCTGCCAGGCCACCCCAAACCAGCCGTCGGTCGGTGAGGGACAACACACACACACACACACACACACACACACACACACACACGTGCCCACAGGACAGCAACATGCCTGTAGCATCAGGGACAGGAGGTGACAGCCAGGGTGAGGCCCCCGACACCCAGGAGATGCTGGGCCCGTCGTCCTGTCCTCTGGACACAGCTCCAAGTGTCCCCATGTGGCCTTTCCTTTGCCAGGAAATCTGCAGATAGAAACACAGGCTTGTGGTCCACCAAGAATGTCGTGTCATCGGCTCCTGAGGCGAGCGCTACGTGGCATTAAATAGTTAGGAGGCTGTGCAGCAGCCGTGGGGGCCGGATCACCATTTGGGAAAGATGCCTTCTGCCACGTGGAGGGACCGAGTGCAAGTGTCCCTTCTTCCCGCTCAGCCGTGAAGGAAGAGTCTGGCAAATAGCCACCAGGAAGGACGGGGCCGCTGGCTTTCAGGCACTTCCCATCCGGGCTGCATTTCTTCCTCCAAACCCGGGTCTCTTCTCCCGAAACTCCCACCCGACTGCCTCTCGGAGAAAGGCTCCCTCCCAGTGCAAAGCCACAGGGGGCTTCAGATTCAGCCCCAAGGTCATCCCGGAAGGAGACCCCGTGCCTCCAGGTGCCACCAGGTAACTCCATCCCGGGGTCCCGAACCCACCGTGACTGTTGCCAACCCCAGTAAAGAAAAGGTGTCTTCGGCTGAGGTTGGAGCCGTGTGATTGGCCTGTGGCATGCAAGAAATGGCAGAAACACTTCAATCCCAAACGTTTATCTGCTGTGTTTAAAGATAGCCAGCAACGGCCTGTCAACAAACGTTTCTGCTGTGCTGCCTGGAGCACAAGAGGCAAGGCATCCTGTCCCCAGCGAGCTGGACACACACTCTTTTCTCTGCAGCATTGGCCCCCAAGCACACTGGGTCCTGCACCTCTCCCCCGACCTCCACCAGCTGCGTGACCCCCGAGAAGGGGCCCCCTCCTGTGCCGGTCTGATGTGCCCGAACACTCTCCTTCAGCACCCAGGCATCGCACCTGCGGGGCCCACAGCCCCGAGCTTGGCCGCTTGCCGTAGAGATGCTGACTCCCCCTGCCAGACACACAGACAGCAAGTAAGCTACTATTACACGGTGAGTGTAACTCCAATAAGGACTGTTTACTAAACGCTTACGTACTGACCAGTGATGAATCAGTTGCTCTGGACACTCGCTGGACGCCAGGCCCCCAAGTGAGGGCATCATCGCTTGCCCCCAGGGAGGTGAGCATCATTAATTCTAGTCACAGATGAAGAAGCCTCAAGGCGGGTGAAATGCTTGGGAGGGAGCCGGGAGCGCCTCCAGACAAGGCGGCTGGAGCTCTGTCTGCCGGCTCCTGGCTCACCGGCCTGGGCATGGGTGCCACCGTGGCTCTCGTCCTGACAGCTGGTGGATGGAAGCCACATGTGTGCGCACACACATACCCACCCCACATTTCTGTGCTGTGACAAACCCAGAATGTTCTAAATTAAAAAAAAATACTTTATTCTTTTTTTTATTTAAAAAAATTTTTAATGTTTATTTTCGAGAGAGAGAGACAGAGTGTGAGCGTGGCAGGGGCAGAGAGAGCCAGAGACACAGAATCGGAAGCAGGCTCCAGGTGCTGAGCTGTCAGCACAGAGCCTGACATGGGGCTCGAACTCATGGACCATGAGATCATGATCTGAGCTGAAGCTGGACCTTAGTTGACGGAGCCCCCCAAACACACCTAGAATTCTCTAAAGGACAGTAGGAGGAATACAGGGACACGCCTCCAGGCCTGTTTTGGCACAGAGCTTGCTGTGAGCCAAGGTGATGCAGGACACCTACCCGGGGAGGGGTGCCTATGGCCCTCCAGAAGCAGCAGGACAGGCACAACCTGTGCCATCTGATCCCGGCAGCCCTGGAGTGAAGCCTGTCTCCTGGCTTTGCTGGTGGAGGCCCCGAGACAAGGCTGGCCATACCCAGGGGGCAGGGCCCGTGAGCCCCTCTCCCAGGGGGCCCCCGACCGGCTGCTCTCCCATCAGTCTGCAGACTGGGGGTCTCTGAGCAAGAAGCCCCTCCCCTGGCAGCCTCAGGGGTGCCCCCTGGCCCACACAGAGGGTGTAGCAGGGGGTGGAGGTGGCCGCAGGGCCTGGCCAGGATGGCGGAAGCCCCATGTGTGTGCGGAGGCCTCACCCGTGTCATGGGAAAGATGCCCCAGCCCGGCCCCGCCGCGCTCTCGGTGACACGTCCCAGGTCTCAGACCTGAACACACGAGCACGCAGCTTCCCCCAGGCTGCCTCTCTGTCACGGCTGCGTACACGGGGCACCACGAGCCTAAATGACGAGTGCATCCACGCTTGGGGAATACGGTGCTAAAACCTGTGCCAACTGTCCCTTGGAAAACAGCGTATTTCATCTCAGTTTTGGACACGTCCTCCATTCAGCCCAGAAGAGCATCAACAGACAGAGAAACCCAGTGAGACCCTGCCTTGATGGGTCTTCAGATTCTGGTAGCACCTGCAGGGACCTGGGACCTGAACCGGAGGGCAGCCGACCCCATCCACCTCAGGCCACTGACCCGTCTCCTCTGCAGCCCACGGCAGCCCAGCCAGAACAACCCCCTGACCACACCCTCCTTCCCTCAGGGACCCCCTGACCACGCCCTCCTGTCCCTGGACATCCCCTGGAAAGATGAGGCTGGAGCATGTGCTGGCCCCAGAAAGGAAGAAAATGCTCAGAAAAACAGGTGGGACTTGTCAGCAGGACTCAGGACCTGGTCTGGGGCAGCTCCCAGCAGCCAGAGCCGGAATCACTTAAGCAACAAAAGAAAGGGTGTCAGATTTAACCCGCAGAGTCAATATCCATGAGTCCAAGCTGATGTTAATAACTGAAGTCAGCCAGCCGTGCGGGGGACCAGAACCCCAGCCCACAGTGACGCTGCACAGAGGCTTGGGAGGCGCCAGGAACAGGGGCTGAGGACGGGACCACACGCGGGAAGACGGCGGGGGTCTCAGGAGAGACCGGATCCGCACCGTCTCCCCCGAGATGCTTAGCAACCTTGAAGGCGAAGGAGAAACCAGCGGAACCCAGTGACCAGGCCGGGTCGCCAGGGAGACGCTGCAGATGCGTGCCATCCCTGAAGCCCCGGTGTGACCTTCTGCAGGGTTCCTCCCAAATGTAAGCAGCCTGCAGCCACGAGGAAACGGAGGGCAAGCTCAAACTGAGGGCCCTGCGCTGTGGCAAATCGGGGAGAGTCAGGGGAAGGAACAGCTAAGTGCCGGGTGGCATCCGGAGCAGGAAAGGAAAATCACTGGCATTGGGTGAAATGTGGGTGGGGCCGGAGTTTAGACGGCGGGGGGGGGGGGGGG